CCCATCCCTTCGGCACCTGCTCTTGGGTCGGAACCGGATCCAAGACGCCTGGGGCGTGGAGCGTCTGAGCAGGAACGTGACGCACTTCGACTTCTCCGGCAACCGCCTGGGGGACCTGGGTCAGCTCTGGGGTCAACTTGGAGAGATCCCGAACCTGCGTTTTCTGAACCTTTCCGGCAACACGCTGGCCAGGTGCTACTGTGTCGGGAAGAGCCCGAGGCAGCTCCGGGAGTTGGACCTTTCCCACAACGCGCTGGGGGATATTTGGGGAGAAGAGAAATGTGTGGACGTCTTCCGGGACGCCCAGAAGCTAGCCGTCTTGAATCTCAGCTCCAACGCCTTGCGGACGTTGCCCAGAGCGCTATTCCAGACCCTGGTGTCTTTACAGGTTCTCGATCTCTCCTCCAATCTGCTGTCCGAGGTTCCGGATGAGGCCTTCCACGCTCTGAGATCCTTACGCACCTTGAGCGTCCGGGGTAACCCCCTGCTGACCCTCTCTCCTGCCCCGTTCGCGGCCCTGGAAGGGCTGCGCTCCCTGGATCTGAGGGACGTGTCTTTGATTTGTGACTGCCGGCTCTCGGACTTCCAGCTCTGGATGGACGAAAAGGCGACCGGGCTGAGCGAAGGCGAGGCCACGCTGTCTTGCGTCCAGCCACACCCTTCGTTCTGGCGGCTCTCCTTGCCCGCCTTTCTGAAAAGCCACTGCCTTCCTCTGTCGCCAAAGGCCAGCGGGCACATAAGTCACTCCCGTGAAGGGGAAATGAAAATGATTTAGGATAGCAAAAAGCTTCAATTCAATTAAAAGTTAAAAAATTTAATTATAATGTTTTAATATTTTGGGGGAAAAAAAATTAAGAAATGATTTTTGCACTGATTTTTTATTTACATTTGGAACTTAAGTTGAACCTTTTAAATCAAACATTTAAATTTTAAAGTAATTTCAATTTTTTTTTTTGTAAAAACAATTATCTATTTTTGTTAAAATAAAGGATCTTGCCTTGGGCGCCCGTTCGGCACCATTATCACAACCTACTTATTCATCAGAGTCTTTGAGGGTTTGAGGATCGTTCCATCTTTTATCTTCTCTGCTGCCCTTTCTTTTGCCGGCAAGATTCAATATTGCTCCTCTCTATATTCGATGGTGATGTAGTCCATGGAGAAGCGGGCGAGACACATCGCAAAGTTCATGGCTGGGCAGAAATAAGAGGATTAAAAAACAACAACAGTCACATCCGTGCTTTTCCGTATTGGAAAGAGGGGTACATACATCAACAGTATCCAGAAATAATAGAAAAGATAAAGAAGGAATGGCTAGAATTATGGACAAAAAATGAAACAGGAGGTGCTAAGCTCTGCGGAAAATGCTGTCTTGCAAAAACATCGTCTT